CTCCCAGGGGCCGGGACCCACCGATGGAGACGAGCTTGATGCTCTCCCTCTCGAGGAACTCGAGGGCGACGGAGACGTTTTCCAGCTGCATCTGCCGGAAGGTGGGCCTGGCGTTGTACTTGCGCCCCATCTTCTTCTGGCTGAGCACCTCCAGGAGGGCGATGAGCCGGAGCCCGTCGCCCAGGTCCGTCTGCAGGTTGGCGATGCGCTTGTTGACGCACTTGAGGTGCTCGTTGCACCAGCGGGTGAAGGTGTTCTGCTGGATCTTCTTCCACGGAGCGTCCTCCGCCAGGTCCTTCTCCGTGGCAGGCATCTCGGCAGCCGGGTCCTCCGGGTTGTTGCTGCTGCTGCTGCTGCTGCTCAGGCCGCCTCCTATTCCTCCTCCTCCTCCTGCAGCTGCCCTTCCTCCTTGATGGAGCCGCGCTTGGGAGGCGCTCATTATAACGGCGGGGCTTGCGAGGGGTGGGGACCCAAAATGCTGGGTGGGTTGGACCACCAGTTAAAGGCACAGGAGCCTGCGGGAGAAGGAGGAGGAGAGGTCAGCCAGACCGCCGCCACCACCACCACCACCACCATCATAGGCAACCTTTCCCCTTTAAGGGCCGAGGGACTTCAGCTCCCAGAATCCCAGGAGCTATTGGCCAACATGGGACTATTGGCCAACATGGCTGAGGCTTCTGGGAGCTGAAGTCCCTCGGCCCTTAAAGGGGAAAGGTTGCCTACCCCTGATTTCATCACCATCACCATCAATATCCTATTACGATCAACAGGTCCAATACACCCAATAGAAAACTCAAACAATCTTGGGAACACAAACCTGGGAACGCAAAGGCAGGCAGGGTGTTGGAGCTACACACCCAGGCAAAACCTGGACAAGACACTGTAAAAAAGCAGGCAAAGTGACCAGATTTCCCCCTTTTCCAGGAGCCGTCCTCCATTTCAGCCTTCTGTCCAGGAGGATGACCAATTGAGCATCGCTAAGAAGCTTGACTTTACTATTTACTTTGTTCTTGTAGCAACTAAGTGAAAGAAAGAATTCAACGAGACGTGAGCTTTCGTAGACTTCAGTCAATTTCCAACTTCTTTCTTTAGTTAGGGCTTTTGCAGACTAGTGCAAATAGTGCAAATTGAGTCCACTTTAACTGCCCTGGCTCAGTGCTAGGGAATCATGGGAGTCTCGAAGGTGCTGCAAGATCTCTACATACTGAAAGAAAGAAGTTGGCAGCATGAGCTTTCATGGACTTAAGTCTCCTTCCTCAGATGCATTTATGCATTTGAAACAAATGCTCTGAGGAAGGAGACTTAAGGCTACGAAAGCTCATGCTGCCAACTTTCTTTCAGTTAGGGCCTTTGCAGACCGCCAGAAATAGTGCAAATTGAGTCCACTTTAAGGGTTAGGGTTAGTGCTAGGGAGTCATGGGAATTGTTTTTTTTTTCCTGCGACATTGAGCCTTTTCTGTCAGAGAACTCTGGTGCCACAATAAAATACAGTTCCCATGATTCCCTAACCCTAACCCTAACCCTTAAAGTGGACTCAATTTGCAATATTTCTGGCAGTTTGCAAAGGCCCTTAGTCTCACAGATGGTACAAAATATCTTTAGAGACTGATTCTACAGACTAGTATGGCTATATTGTGCGATTCTATTTATTTTGTTGTTGTTAATAACCACCCTCGATCCCAACTCATTGTGACCCTGTGGATGTGACATTTCCAAGATCCCCTGTCCTCCTCTGCTTAGTTCCTGCAAGGTCATACCCGTTACCTCCTTAATAGAGTAGTCCATCCATCTGGCACACAGCCTTCTTCTCTTTCTACTTTCTTCACCTTTCCTAGCATTATTGGTTCTCCCCCCCCCCCCCCCCCCCCATGAGTCATGCCTTCTCATGATGTGGCCAAACTAAGACAGACTCAATTTTGGCTTCCAGTGAGATTTCCAGCTTGATCTGTTCTACAACCCATTTGTTTCTCTTTTGTCCATGGGATCCTCATCACTCTTCTCCAGCACCACGTCTCAAATGAATTGATTTTCTTCCTATCATCTTTCTTAACTGTCCAGCTCTCATATCCATACATGATAATAGAGAATATGATGTCTTGTATGATTCTAACTTTCATGCTCATGCTTATATATTTTTACATTTTAGGATCTTCCCTAGTTATTTCATAGTTGCCCTCCCCTTTAGTCTTCTGATTTCTTGACTGCATGTCCCTGTTCTGATTGATCCAAGGCATAGGGATTCTTTTATTATTTCTATTTCCTCATTGTCTATGTTAAATTTGTTAAACTCTATGGTCATAATTTTTGTTTACTATATACAACAGTAAGCTTGCCTTTGCACTTTTTTCCTCAGTAGTTGTTCCAGGTCTCTGAGGTTTTCCACTAGTACTATGGTGTCATCTGCATATCTTAGACTGTTGATATTTACTATTTACTATAAGCTGCCAAGTAGACAAGTTTCTCAAAGGGGAAGAGCAAACGTGGTTATTCAATGTGTTTCTTAGCCATGTTCATAATGGGGGACATTTTGGACTTTCTCCAGGACAGAAGGTTGAAATGTAGGACACATCTGGGAAAAGGAGGGCGGTGGTTTCAACCTGACACCAGTTGGAGTATAAGTAAAAAGAGAAAGAGAGCCCAAGGAGCTGATGGGGGAAGCTTTGCCTCCTCCATTCATTCCTGACGTGACTCCACACATCGCACCCTCTGAAGAATTGAGGCTGTGCAGAGGAGGAGAGGCAGTGGCAGGAATAGTGTCTGGCCCGCGTGAGTCAGCTTGTCTGGCTCAGGCTGGAATTCCCAGACTCCCTTTCACAATCACACACACACAAAAATGCACAACATCTTTCTATGGCTTAGTTCCCCTCCCCTCAATATCCATAGAAGGAAGGGTTCAGAATCCCACAGTCTCTTAGGCCTCTGGAGTGCAATTGTTGTGTGTTGTGTGCCTTCAAGTCATTTCCGATTTATGACAACCCTATCATGGCTCTTTTTGTGTGTGTGTGTGTGCAAGATTTGTTCAGGGGTGGCTTGCCATTGCCTTCCCCTGAGGCTGAGAGAGTGCGACTCAACCAAGGTCACCCAGTGGATTTCCATGGTTGAGTAGGGAACCAAACCCTGCTCTCAAAATGGATGTCATTGGTATTTTGAAATTAAAATGAGTCCATGTTCCAGATGAATTTAATTCAAATATTGAACATTACAAACATTAGGATTCACTAAAAGACAACGTTGTTGTTGTTGCTATGTGCCTTCAAATTGCTCCTGACTTGTGGCAACCCCAAGCAACCCTATCAAAGGTTTCCTTGGTAAGATTTATTCAGAGAAGGTTTGCCATTGCCTTCCTCTCGAGAAAGTGACTTGCCCAAGGTCACCCAGTGGGTTTTCTGTGGCAAAGTGGGGAATCAAACCCTGGTCTCCACCTAAGCAGACTGCCAGAAATAGTGCACATTAAATTGAGGCACTGCCCTGGCTTAGGGCTAAGGAATCATGGGAACTGTAATTTATTGTGGCACCAGAGCTCTCTCACAGAGAAGGCTCAATGTCCCAGAAAAAATACAGTTCCCATGATTCCCTAGCACTGAGCCAGGGCAGTGCCTCAATTTAATGTGCACTATTTCTGGCAGTCTGCTTAGGCCTATAGTGCAGCACTCAAACCACTACACCACACCGGCTCTCCCTGCTGGCTTTTTCTCTTTGGGGCCAGGTGGGAAATTTGGGCCTCTCCAGATGTTGCTGAATTACAGATCCCAGCAGATCTAGCTAGGACAGCCAATAGGGAAGGTGCTGAAAGTTACATTTAGCAACCACACAATTCCCACACTGCTTTAGAGGGATGATGACCAAAGTGTTTTGTATCTTGCGCCTTCAATGCTGACTGATAGCTACCACATCCTAGGGTTTTCTTAGCAAGAGTTATTCCAAGGAGGCTCTGTTGCCTTCCTTTGAAGGCTGAGTGTGTGTGACCTGCCCTAGATCACCAATGATTGAGCAGGGATTTGAACCCTGGTCTCCCAGAATTGTGGCCCAGGACTCAAACCACTGCACCACCCTGGCAGTCACACTGTTGTGTGTGTGTGTGCTTTCAAGTTGCATGTCAATTTACAATGACCCCATTAATTTCATAGGAGATTATCAGACGGGGGAATCGGTGAAGAAAAAGGCATACTTCCAGGATGATTGCGCTATCATACTGAAGGTTTTCAGACAACGTCACGCTTATCCAGGACTCATTCTGGGGAGAACCAGGAATGCTCCAGCAACAAACCATTTCCAGGACTTCCCCCATGTTGCTGGAGCATTTCTTGATCTTCATGGGAGAAGTCCTGGATAAACATGTGTCTGAAAATCTTCAGCGCAATTGCACAACTTTGCCAGAAGTATGCCTTTTACTCCCAGCTTTTTTTCCAGGTTTGAAAATCTCTATAGAGTTTTGTTAGGCAAGGAATACTTAGAGGTGAATTTGCTCTGAAATATGGCCTACAGTATTGGCATCTCCCATCCAAGTACTAACCAGGGCTAACCCTGCTTAACTTTCAAGATCAGATGGGATCTGGTGTCTTTAAGGTATTTAGAGTGTTTTGCAAACAAGTACATCCTGCCTTGAGTCCAGTGGGAATTCCTCTCAAGTCAGCCTGCTTTCCGTCTTCACTCCAGGAATGCTAACCAGCTCAAGAGGCATGAAAAGGCGGAAAGAACGGGGAGAGGGGGGGAAAGAGGGGGGAAATGTGGCTGCACCTTTAAGACTAACTCCTTTTTATTTTTGCATGAGCTTTGGTGGATATAAACCTACTTCTTCAGGTGCAGTACAAAGTGATCATAAATGCTCAGGTATAATAATAATAATAATAATAATAATAATAATAATAATAATAATAATAATATTCAGGGGCCAGCATGGCATAGTAGTTTGAGCATTTGACTATGACTCTGGGAGCCAGGGTTTGATTCCTACTTGGCAATGAAACCCACTAGGTGACCTTGGGCAAGTCACACTCTCTCAGCCTCAGAGGATGGCAATGGCAAACCTATTCTAAACAAATCTTGCCAAGAAAACCCCATGATATTTGCCTTGGGGTTGTCATAAGTAGGAAATGACTTGAAGGCACGCAGTTCACATAGTTGTGGGAGTGGGATAGGATGTAATAGGAACCAAAAGATGCAAATCATGACCCTCAAGAGGCAGCAGCTTGGATGTACCACCAATGCGAATTGCACTCTTGCTGTGATGGCAGCCAAGGTGGGGTGTTTATAGCATAGGAGAAAGAGTATTCATTTCACTTCTGGGTGAGAGCTCAAGTTTAGCCAATTGTATTCTGTTTCCTTCCCTTGGTCCTGCTACTTGTGAGGTCTGGGTGTGAAGGGGAGGAGAGTCTGGGCCTTTGCAGACTGCCAGAAATAGTGCACATTAAATTGAGGCACTGCCCTGGCTCAGTGCTAGGGAATCATGGGAACTGTAATTTATTGTGGCACCAGAGCTCCCTGATAGAGAAGGCTCAGAAAAAAATACAGTTCCCATGACTCCCTAGCACTGAGCCAGGGCAGTGCCTCAATTTAATGTGCACTATTTCTGACACTTTGCAAAGGCCCAAAGTCTCCAAATCTTTCCTCATCATGAAAAAGCCTTTTTGTTTTTGTTTTTGTTGTTGTTGGTTGTTTCCAGGACTGTAGCTGGGGTGGATGGGTGGCAAAATGAGGGCATTGCCCCCTCACAAAAAGAATTCTGGCCTTCTCTTGAAAAAATTTCGTCCAGTTCCTAAATTCTAGCATTTCAAACTTTAAATGTATTTGTTAATTGTTGCTGTTCCCTGCCTCGATCCATGGGGAAAGGCAGATAAATCAGTATTATTATTATTACAGTTGGCATTCCTTATCCACAGATTCAAGCATCCCTGGTTTGAAAATCTTTAAAAAAAATTCTAACAAATTCCAAATCTTGATTTTGACATTTTATGTAAGGGATGGCATTTTACTATGCCATTGTATTTAATGGGACTTCAGCATTTTGGTATCCATGGGGAGTACGGGGTCCTGGAACCAACCCCAGCGAATATCAAGGGCCCACTGTATTATTAAACTATGCTTGAGCATTTCAAAAATACAGTTTAGGCAGCCAAAGAAAAGGGGCAGATGAAATTCCTAAGGGGATGCTAGCAAAGTAAAAAGAAGAGCTCCAAGCCTGCATGATTTTCGACATCTCCTCTTTGTAAGGGGAATGAAGGAAATTTTCATTGAAGGGAGCAAAATTCTTATGGAAGAGATCTTGGGTGCATCTACACTATAGGAATAATGCAGTTTGATATCACTTTGAGTGCTGCAGCTCCATCCTGGGATTCATGGTTTTACAAGGGCTTGATTTCTCTGCCAGAGAGTGCTGGTGCCTCATAAAACTAAAAATCCCAAGATGCTGTAGGATGGAGCTATGGCAGTTAAAACAGTGTCAAGCTGCTTTATTTCTACAGTATAGATGTACCCCTTGAGACATGGCACAGTTTGGCATGCAAAGAAACAGGGCAGTTTCACCCGCTAGGAGTGCAAAGGTGTGCATATGTGTGTTCTCTCAGGCGGCATCCGTACTGCAGAAAGAATTTGGTTTGACAATGATTTAACTGCTATGGCTCAATGCTATGGAATTCTGGGGATGGTAGTTTGTTTTGGCACCAGAGCTCTGCAAACTACCATCCCCAGAATCCCATAGCATTGAGCCATGGCAGTTAAAGTGGTGTCAAACTGGATTCTTTCTGCAGTTGGATGCAGCCTCAGCCCTAAGGCACCCAGCTCTGGAGGAGAGAAAGCAACATTCCCACCAACAGGGGAAGGGGGATGAGAATGGGCCAAAGCTCTGAAAAAGGGAATGAGGGGCCTGAGGAATGTGTGAGGTGGGCTGAGGGCAACTAGAGGGTCCCGCCACCCTCCTCCATAGTGCCTGGAACTAGGCGTCGGAGGAACACTGCTGGGCCAGTAGGCGCATGTCTCCCAAATTCCTGCACAATGAGGCCCCACTGAATGGGAGCTTCCTCCTCGCCCTCGTCACCTTCCTTCCCCTCCCCTCCCTTCCGACTTCCACACCCAGCCCAGCCCTGTGCCTGTGCAAGAAATAAAAATGTTAAAAACCCTGCCTGTGGGCAATGGAAACTCTGTGCATGCATTTCTGCCTAGCTCATATTGGCCTGGGAAGCTGCTTTTTCCTCACCGATTCCCCTTTCCCCCTCTGCTGCATGACCACCATGAGGCCAGTCTTCTCGTGGCTTTTTTTTTTTTTTTGCCTCC